TTTAGAGTTATTAGAGTTATATAGAGTTATATAGAGTTATATAGAGTTATATAGAGTTATATAGAGTTATATAGAGTTATATAGAGTTATATAGAGTTATATAGAGTTATATAGAGTTATATAGAGTTATATAGAGTTATATAGAGTTATATAGAGTTATATAGAGTTATATAGAGTTATATAGAGTTTCTTTTCTGTTCTTTTCTTTGCCGACCGGTCGGCTCCTTTGCGTTTCTCTATTTTCATTTAAATTAATTAAATAAATAAGATTGTTCCATTCATTTAGGTTCATTCAGGTTCATTCATCCAGGTTGAAGCTTCCAGAGGAGTTCATCGTGGAAGATCAGAATGGTTGTGATGTCACGCTACGTTCGTTCATTCAGTTGCAAAGAATGCACGTCTGGCTGGGGTACGTTTTACGGTTTTTTTGCGGTTCTTTTCTTTGCCAGTTAGCCGGCTTTTCCGGCTGGCAAGTTTCACCGCGACTCGTTTCTCTATTTTCATTTAAATTAATTAAATAAATAATATTTTTTCATTTCATTCAGGTTGAAGCTTCCAGAGGAGTTCATCATGGAAGATGTCAGGCTACGTTCGTTCATTCAGTGGCAAAGAATACCCGCCTGACTGGGATACGTTTTCTTTTTTTTCTGTAATTTAACATTAAGTAGGAATGCTCACACGCACACGCACACGCACACACACACACACAATTACATTAAGTAGCTATATAGGTAGGTTAGATAGGCCTAATTTTAATTGTAGGTAGGATAGATAGGAAGCATACAACACTAATGTAGTTGAATAGGTAGGCAGCGTAAGTTTATCTCTTCTATTTTATCTTGCACCCACATTACACGCATCAGCGTATTACACACACACACACACACACACACAAATACATACATAAACACATATGTTAGTATTTGAGCGTAATTTTATTTTCATTACACATTCTAATTTATTATTACTAAGGTTGAAAGTAATTTAATTTCATAGGTAGTTAAGGGCAATAATGTAATTCTAGGAACAATCTTGTAATGTAAATTAAAACGCTGTAAGTGTATCGATAGGTAGGTTAATTATTAAGTTTTACATTATTATTATTATTATGTTGGAGCCCAAGGCATTACGTAGGTGGTGGGGTGGGTGCCGAAAGGCCAATGAATTGGGCTCTTAAGTTTTGTAATTTTAGGTAAGCTAGGACCATAATGTAATGAATAGGTAAGTTAAGGCTACGTTGTAACACATACTCATTATTAGATTTAGGGTTTAAGTTTTATGTTATTATTATTAAGTTGGAGCCCAAGGCATTACGTAGGTGGTGGGGTGGGTGCCGATTGGCCAATGAATTGGGCTCTTGAGTTTTGTAATTTTAGGTAAGCTAGGACTTAATTGTAATGAATAGGTAAGTTGAGGTTACGATAGCCGATAGACTCTGAATTTCGAAGTCTCTTGTCAGAGGTAAGCCTTGGTGGCCAGTGGTGAACCGGCAATGGTTTACTATCCGGACGGCAATGGTTTACTATCTGCACGGTAATGATTTACTATGCGGCACGGCCATAGTCTACTACCCGCACGGCTTCCGGACGGCAAATGGTTTACTATCCGCACAGCAATAGTCTACTATCCGCACGGCAATGGTTTACTATCCGGTGCCCTGGCTGTCGGTGAACCTCTGTGCAAGGAGGGAGAATGAAGGGGGACTTTCGACTATCGTACCATTAACAATTTAATATAGATTAGTTAAGGTAATTAAATAGGTAGATAGGTATATTTTTATTATGCAATTTGAGATGCAAGCACTGCTAAGCTTTCTGATGAGAATTTTCTCAATCTTTCTCCATTCCACGGGCTGTGTTTCTACAACAATCTCGAGGAGGACTGGCACAATTTTGGAGGACAACGTAGGAACCGGACCGCATTCAACATTCTGCCTTTGTGGATTGGACGACGGTAAGTTTTTTTTACATTTTACTCTCTTTATTATTTTAATATATTATTTATTTGCCATTATTTTCATTGTATAATTTTTGGGTTCTAAGATTCTAACATTCATTTATTACTACGTTAATAAAAAAAAATTTGTCTACAGAATGATGAGAGGTGGGCAGTGGTGGGAGTCAGCACGTTTCAGATGGTGGTCTCATGATGATTTACGTATGATGATGGTGGTGTAGAAAGAATCAGCGCGTTGGCTATTCGACTGACACTCAGAAGTTCGGATGAAATCTTCTGTGCCGACCAGATGATGGTGGTCGGTGCAATGAATTACTGTAACGACAATTTTTGAAGTAAGGTTAATTTCGTTTTTTTATTTTTCTCGTTCATTTATTTGTTCATTTTATCACTCAATCTTTCAAATTATTCTTCCATTAATTGACATTAATTTATTCTATTCATTCATTGAATCATTGATTGATTAATTCATTAATTCACTCATTCTTTTAACCAATCATTCAATCATTCATTTAATCATTTTATCGTTCGTTCCTTTGTTCCTTGATTTACTACTACGTTAATAAAAAAAACTTGTCTACAGAATGATGAGAGGTGGGCTGTGGTGGGCGTCAGCACGTTTCAGATGGTGGTCTCATGATGATCGTTCCGATGACAAATCGAAGAAAACAACATCATCGATTTTTGAAGTATGGTTTGTGTCTGTGGTGGGCGTCAACACGTTTCAGATGGAGGTCTCATGATGATCGTTCCGATGACAATTCGAAGAAAACAACAACGGCGATTTTTGAAGTATGGTTTAGTTTTTTTTTATTTTTCTCATTCATTTTATCACTATCTTTCAAATTATTCCTCCATTAATTGATTCATTCTATTCATTCGTTAAATCATTGATTGATTAATTAATTATTCATTCATTCAAACAATCATTCAGTTAATCATTTATTCGTTCGTTCTTTTGTTCCTTGATTATTTACCAACACGTTAATTAAAAAAACTTGTCTACAGAATGATGAGAGGTGAGCTGTGGTGGGCGCCAGCATGTTTCAGATGGTGGTCTCACGATGATCATTCAGATGTCAATTTGAAGATAAATTAAAAGAAAATTTGTTCTTGTCCCATCGTACCATTGAAAGTACTCGAATTTGTCATCTCAATAACATAAGTTGCCTTTTTTTCAATGGCTTGTGTTTTTATTTTAAAGAATTATTTTTTTCAATTTAGTGCTTTTCAGTATCCGGTCAAATTCATTCCATCGATGCGTGTCAGATGATGGTCGGTGCAATGGAGTGAGTGAAGAAGTTTTTGGAAGTACACGCCCGCACATTTACACACACACATCAACACACACATACACAACATCCATTCATTCGGTGTCGTTGTTGTTATGTTTTTCTTCAACTTTCTATTTTCTTTACCAGACTTAATTTAATTCGTAGGTAAGTTAGGGATTGAGATGAGTTGAACAATCGTAGGTAGGCTAGAACTTAACATTAGTTAAAAAGTTTCAAGTAAAATAAAAACACTGAAATATGTAAAATAAAATACTTAAAACATGTAAAATTCCAAAAACGTAGAAAAAACATATTTGTAGGTAGGTGAGTTGAGTTAATGATTATAAGTAAGCTAGGGCCCTGAGAGTAATTTAATTGTAGGTAGGTGACTGACTACTATTCTTGCGACTTTTTACTAGTTTTTTGTGATGTGTTTGTTTTCGCTTCACAGCCCCACACCAACAAAACAAATTACATTTTATTCTCGTCGTCGCCTTAAATTTTACCTTTTTGAACAATCTTTTTAATAATGTCTATTTATTTCATTATTTATTAAATGTTTACTGGTTTCTAGTTTTTTTTAATTTGGTTATATAATTTTTGGATATTTCTTGATTTAATAAAAACAACTATTGTGTTTTTCTTTTACTAAAATCTCGAAATTGTTTGTGGATCTGTACAGTTAAGTGTTTGTTCGAGTTTGAACAAGCCTTGCAAATATTTTTCAAATATGGTTCATTGATTGGTCGGTTGATTAGTTGATTGAATGAATGGTTGGTTGATTGATTGATCTCATAGTTTTGTATATGAAAAAAAATCCGATTAAGCCAACATACGGCTTTACTTGGCCACTGTATTTCACCAGACAAAAGCAATTTCTTTATTTATATTGACAAAAATAATTGTGAAATGAATATATTGACTTATTTAAAGCATTATATGTAAAGAAAACCGCCATGACACTGTTGTATGAGATCCAGTAAGCCACTGCTGTAAGCCAACTTATGATTTCAGCAACCATAATTTCTATGAGCACCAGCAGAATGTAAAATATTCATTGAATATAATGAAGATAGTTGTTCAAATAATTTTGATCTATTTAGGCCGTTTATTTCATGAGCAAACAATTTTTTAACATGATCGAATAGTCTAAAAATAGGGTGACTATAGTTCAATCCTACTAAGCCAACCTTCGGCTTTAGTAAAAAGCCACCGGATTTCACAGGACCAAAAGTATAGTTTTTATATTCAAATTAACAACAATAATAACAACAATAATTTAATAATACATAATTTTATTTAATAAAATCATAATTTTTTGATAAAATTGAAGAGAATTACTAAAATGTTTTAAGCATATTAAGTCAAGTAAATATTTCATATAGCTTGCTCGTTAAAATCTATGTAATTTCGTAAGCCAATAATCCAAGCATGCCAAATAGCCCAACCCTTGACTCGAACGATAATAAATCACCCTCCAAATCTTTTCCAGAAGTAAACTCCTTGTTCGACCGTTAAAAGTGAGCGAAGGCCGTTATATTTATTTCAGTTATGTGGTCGGGGCCACATTTATATGGTTCTATATATGGATATAGATATATATCCGTGGTTCCATCAATACCTATCTATCTATATATATCCGCAGTTCTATTCGCTTCAATGCGTATGTTAACGTTAAGCTACTTTTGCTTATAGTTATTATAACAGTCTCCTGTGAATTATAATGGCCAAATTTATCATCTCCTTATCAATGTCACAATGTCCTCATTCAGTCCCATCCTCGACATCAGCTTTGTACTACTCCTATCCTTCACCTTAACCCCACACAGAGTAGCATCAGAAAAAAGAACAAATTTGACAAGTTATTAAACTTGCGAATGTTATAACGAGCAATCAACAAACAATTTTCAGATTTCAATACTGTTGTTATTTTGACTTCAATCGTTTGATGAATGTAATCGTGTCCCTGTTGAAAATGTTGTATCTGTTCAAGATTGAAAATGAAATAATCAATTATAGCGTTTTGAAAAATAGAATCAATGTTAATTGAAACTAACTCGCTGAGTAACTTGTTATTCTCAGTCAGTTTCTGGCCACTGAAATAAAGCCAGTAGGACCTCCAAATATGTTTCCTGGTTCAAGCAATGCATGCAGATAAGTTATCAATTAAATGCGAAAAATACAAAATTTTAAATCAAATGAGATAAAACGAAATGTTTTATTTTAAAATGTTATTAATAAATAAAAAACAAAAAAGATCTAATAATCAGTGAGCATCAAGACTACTCTACAAAAAGTTACCAATTTATGTGAGTGGTATGATTCTCCCTTGCTTGCTTCAAGACCACGTGCCTCTGGAATGCTTTTTTTAAATCTAAAACAGTAGCGTTCTGTAAAACTACAACAGCTGCAAGATTAATTTATTAACAATTATAACGGACAAAATAGGAATTACACAACTGTATCAAAAAAGAAACATAAATAAAACACATTATCGAAACACAGGTTTGCATTAACGCATATTTTTGAATGTTACATACTATATTGTTAACCATGAAAAAGAATAATTCCTTGATTTTTATTTTTCTATTGAACAGAAAAAACTGGCAATACACTCAAAGTGAACAAATTTCAAACGAAGTGAACAGTAAACCTAGTGATAAGTAAAATGCATGGATTGAATAAATTGAAAAACATGAGACTGTATCTCCCAGTCATCAATAGTGCTGTACAATAGTTGACTAACACAAAACAGACAAACACACACGCACGCGGAATTAACGCACCTAAAGCATATGATTGGCAAACAACACTGAATTACTCAGAGAAAAATAAGCTATTGATAGTTGGATATGAATGTGGAAGCGCTTGGGCCATTAAAATGCATTGTGTTACAGATATCATTTTCTAGATATTTCCAGCAGTGGATGCGCGACAACAATGGTGTTCTCGCTTCCCGCAATGTTTGTAATGGAAGAACATGACAGGACAATAATGATATAAAATAGTTTGAATAAGAATTTTGACAGAATCAGGCCATATCTTTGCATGCAGAAAGTTGCATTTCAACATTGACCATTCATTATTTGTATTCTTTTAAAGTTTTGACTAACTGTCATTAGGATAAATGAAGTTTTTGATTTACATAAATTTTTTCCCTCAAAGATTTACTTTATTAACTCTAAACATAAAAAATAATAATTTGAAATTTTATATGCAGTATAAACCAAAGAAACTAACGTAGAATAATTCCATCAGCTCTTTGAATATTAACTGTTATTGACTGGCCATGTTCAAGTGATATATACGAGTTCAATTCTTCGATTGTAACTGATGTGTGCAAATCACTCAACATTGGATCACCCTGAATAATAAACATTAAATTATTAAAATCATTAACATTTTGCATCAAAATTCAAATATGATCTAAAACAGAATTTGTGTGACCAACTTACTAACAATAATGATTTCAGCTAAGCAGTCTTTGAAGTACTGCATAGCATCGTTGTGAGACATTGCTTCCTGTTCATCTTCTTCTTCCACATCCACTTCTTCTATGTTCATGTTCACTTTTGATAGAAAATGACAGGGGAAAAATATCATTATTAATGAGAACTATGAAAATAATAAAGTTTATTTTTCATTAACAAATAAATTGAAACATTAACATGGTGTTATCTGTTATATTTTATATAATTTTTTTTTATTCAATTAATATTTTATTATAAAATATAAAAAACATTAATAATTTTTTTATTATATAAAAAATAATTTATGAAAGTTAAAAAAATTTTATTAATTTACTTTTGAGTTTCGAAAATTGTCTTACACAAGCGAATCAATAAATGAAATTAAATTGAAAAATATCGAAGACCCACAAAACTATAAAAAAAAAACTCGCGCACACTGCAAAAATCACACCGGCAAAATTAAAACTTTATTTATTAATGTAAGGGTAAGCATAAAAGTGAATTTCATAGGTATAGAAATGAATGCAGAAAATTACAAGTTTCTATATCTATGGTAAATTCAAATCAATAAAAATGTTTGAAATTTTAGCAAGCTAGGTAGTTGTTTGTTAGTATTACGCTAATAATAAAAACATGTCTACAGAATGATGAGAGGTGATTAGTTGGTTGAATGAATGATTTATTGAGCGATTGGTGGCTTGCTCGTTTAATAAATGTTTGGATGGATGGGTGGTTGGTTGACATTCGAATTTATTGGTTGTGTGGTTGATTTGATCACGTCCTTACTCACAAGCATACATATCACATTAATCACATTTACGTCAATTGTGCTCCGTCTTCTGATACGCTGTACTCCTCGAGTTATTCTCCTCGTCCCTTGTTCACGTTATTCCCGTTATTCTCTCGTTCTTGTTCGTGTTATTGTGGTATATCAATTTTTTGTGTTGGGTGATTGATTGATGGATGATGGATCGAATAATGAAAGGTTGACTGATTGGCAGCTCTTGTCTTCTATACCCATACTCAACTGTTTTTGTTAAACATTTTATGGATTATCATTTATTTCATTTCAAAATTGTTAATTAGAGATTTTAGAAACCGTAGATGTATTATCATTCAAATAAAATATACACTTATATCCGCATGGGCACATTTTTTCAATAAAAAATTTGATAAATATTTATACATGAAAATGTCAATTAAAATCAACAAAGTTAGATAACAATAAAAATAAATTATTTTTAAAATCAGTAAGTTTAACTAAATCATTAATTCTTACACAAAAAAAACTTTAAAGCATATCAAAAAGGCATAAGTAAAAGCAAAATAGAAATAAATTAATATAAAATATGTTCTTAATAATGGCAAATTGAAGTTTAAAAAATTACTTATCACATCTTAAACGTCGAAAATTCTAATTTCGGCCGTTCCTCCCATTTTCGTAACAACAAATAACTGACTTGATTGATCATTCAAAGCAATACCAAATATTTCCACCTTGTGAACCAACGATCGGTCATTCTCTAAAATTAGTTTTTTATCATCCTTAGCTGAGCTATATCCGCCCTGAATATTCACGTATTTCACTATTTGACCGTTGAATTGATCGGGTACATAGAGAGTTGCATCTCTACCCAGAGCTACAGACTGTGGTTCACAGGGTTCGTTAAAAATATTCTGTTGCTGATTAATTAAATCCAATTTTCCAAAAATTATTCCGCACTCATCATCAACTAAAGTAATAGTCCTTAGCATTTGACTGTGGTTGCTGTTTTCAACGTGATTTGTCGAAATTTTTTTCTTTGATGTCACATTTTCAATTTTTTGAGGAATTTCGCAGATGGCAAACATTCCGTTATTCCAAGAGGCGTCAAAAATTTTGACAAATTCTACACGAAGGCATTTTGACAAAAGTTTATTTTTCTTTTTCGAATCATCCATTTTAATCTTTTTTGCTAATCCTTTTTCAAACAACATTTTACATTTGATTGATTTAATAAAATAACACGAAAAATTATTTTCCTTATAAATTTCTAGGCCTTTCGTGCAAATGACGGCGAACTGGTGATTATTCATGGCTACGCAACCGATGATGCATGAACTAGTTGTCAGATTTATTTCTTTCTTGAAATCACCGCGGGTGCTGTAAATTTGCATACTCCTGTCCGTCGTCACGATCATCACATCGTCACTCACAAAACAGCAGCCCGTAACACCTAGAACTTTAATGTTACGTTGCTGATTGAGTTTTAGTGCTACTATGTGAACTGCGTTTGCTGGTGGATCAATTAGTGCGACAACGTTAGCAGCGCTGGACAGGGCAATCCTGGTTGGTGGCATCATTACTGATTCACTTTCAATGATTTGACTCAGACTTGCGGAGTACAGCGTCGATGAATGTTGATTAATTAAATTGTTAAAGACATCATTATTTGATTTGCTATTATAAAAAGTTTCAACGATCATAAAAGGATTGATCTGCATTGAATTTTCATTTGGTACATCGTTGAAAAGTTTGTTTGCTCGCAATTTGTGTCGTTGATCAAACTGAGCATTGTTATGTATACCAAGATTGCCAAGGTTGGCCTGTAATAGGCTACTTGCTAACGGTGGTAATGAAGGAAGTTTGGTGATCAGAGCATCTGAATGCTTGGGTTGCCTTGCCTGACTAGGACTGCGTGTGTTGGGAAGGTTTGAAATATTTACGACGTTGTTCTCAAGAGGTTTACATGAAAAGTAATGGGGATTAAATGGAGGAGGTCTCGTTAAAACATCATCAAACAAGTCAGAGGTTGAATTTGAACGATGCGCCGAAAGTCGGATCGCATTTTTTTCACTTGAAATATCAGGGTACAATTTTTTTACGGCACAATTGAAGTGAACGTTCTGATGACTGAGCTTCTGATGTTCTTCATACTGAGCTCCTGAAAATGACTGAGACCTTCTTTTATTTTCATGTCCATATTTGATGTTGTCAATCGAATTATTTGCATTATGGCCAAACTTTTCAGTCCCACTCAAATGTACGTTCTCAGATAAATTGTGGTTATTTGTCTGGCTCTTTATTAGAACTTGTAACTTTTCACACTCAACACCATTAAAGTGCTTCTTACTGCAATCCATCTGTTTGGAATGCGTGTTGTCAGTAAGTGTTCGAGCTTCATGATTTGTTTTAGCGTTCTCGTTGTTGATCTTCTTTCTCAACTTGCTGCTAGCATTGTTCATGTTGCCGGCACATTGTTGAGTTTTCAAAAGTTCAACGATTGGTTGATTGATGGCGAGGTTGTTGATGTCATCACACGTTGTTGTGGCGCGGCAGTCAGGACACGTGATTAAATACTTTTGTTGCGTTTTAATGCTTTCAACATTTTTATCTAATTGTATTGGCTGTTTTGAAAACGGTTGCAGTAATTTATTTACAATGCAACTGCTGCAAAATACATGTCCACAACCTGTTAGTGTAACTGGTAACAAACTGGGAAATGAAGTAACTTCATTCCTTCCACTCATTATCTTAAAAGATTTATGGCACAGCTGACACTTCATTAACATATCCATTTATTTAGTTTTTTAATTAATATATAACAACTTTATAAAAATAATAAAAAAACTATGTTTATATACTTATATCTGAATAGATTTAATTTAAATAATCCTCTCCGTAAAAAATCCCAGCAGTTGGAGGAAGCAGACGTTGACGCGATTAACAACTTCCAACTTAAACTCGATCCTTCCAAGTGTCGTTGCTACGATGCCTTGAAGCGATGAAGCCTTTCTTTCCAGGTTTTGTTTGGTTGAACGTTAATCTGTATAGCTGTTTGCGTTTGATTATTAAAATAGCTGAAACATCGAGGTAGTGGCTTGCGATATTTTATTATTCTGCAGCAAATAATTATATATTAGTATTATTTCTGTTGTTAATCAAGTTACCGAAGTTTGCAGAGCAGCTTTGTTGCACTTTTCCAATTATTAAGACTTCAGGGACAGTAGATGACCAGCAGAAGTTTGAACTGATTTGAAATCTCTCGGATGTTCTTTATTATTCAAGTGATAATCAGCGACGAATCGAGCATGAATGACAACAATTGTTTTAACTATGAAACAAAATGTAAGTTGAATAGTTATTGTTTTGAATTATGATTACAGAGTTGAGATTACAGATTTATCCAGATTTAGAACGAGTGTGATTCTGTTTAAACGAATTTGTTAATGTTCGTGATATAAATCTTTTATTGACGAGGCTTATCTTTAAAGTTATAAATAAACAATAACATAGATGGCCTCTAAACTAATTTTTGTTACAAGTACATCCGCTATAATGTTCTGAACGTTGATTGTTAGCTACTCGCAAACTAGTTGACATCAGACTAATATTTAAAAAATACAAGAGAGTTATAAACGTATTGAATTTAAATTAAGCAAATTTTAAATAAATTCACATAAAATTACACGTCAATGTTCTGAACATTAGAATTTTTGAGTATAGGTCACTCCTTGATTTTTCACACTTCATTGTTTATTTTTATGTTAAAGCAATATATGATATGTAATATCATATTATCATACTTCAATGTGAACACATTCTAATTGTATTCCAAATTCAATGCATTGGAATATTTTAGCAATAGAGGCTTAATGTTTGAAATGTTATTAAAACATCTACCACAGCCTATAAGTCAAATAAATGCCATCTTACAACTTACTAATAAATTTTATTGTTTGTTAAGATCTTTAAAGCATTTTACAACTTGACTTTTTTATTGAATGCCCCATGTAAAAATTCTTAAAATCTGCGAAATGTGGGTATTTTTTGTTCAAATATAATCAAACAATAAAACATTTTCAACATACTTGGATGATTTTTGGCGAATTGGTCTGCGAGTTAGAGCAGTCGGTAAAAATTTCATGACTCGTTATTATGTTATTATGCGATGGCCTGGCTTGAATACTGCCTGTACTTAACTCAAGGACAGTCATCCGCAAGAAGTCCTCGTGAAGCTTTCGACTGCGAATAAAATTTGTACGTCGTGTGGCGTGTATATTGCGGTTTTAATTAGTCATAAGTATAAAATGACGTATAAGCAGTTTTGCACTTATTCTAAGTATATGGATCTGCAAAACAAAATTAAGAACAAAAAGAAAAAAGATTTTAAATGTCACATTGCTGGTATAATGTTGCCTAGCAACGACTTCACCTCAAATTTTGCTTCATAGTTGGCGGCGTTATAAATAAATTGGTTTTAATTAATTTAAGAAGTTATGGATGTAAGCTTAAAAACGTCAATGGCGTTCTTATTTCAATTTTGGTAATAAATTAAAAATTTTTTTTAATCATAGGCAGACGTTGATAAATATGCGTTCATCGTGGAATGGTATGACATCCAGGCAGCTCTTATCCGGAGATATATTCTTACTTATTATAATGAAGACTGTGCTGTCGAACTGGTGAACACAAGTTTCTAATTAATTTGATTTGTTTTCATTTTATTTTGTCTTTCAAAAATTAATTATGTTTCGAAGTTTGAATTCTTTTAAAAAATTAAAACTAATGCTTGCTCAATATTAGCTAATTCAAAAATGTGCGGTAAAAGTTAAATTGATTATTAAATGAAAAGCTTCTGCCCTGCATGATGATATGCTGGATACACCTTTGATAAGTTCAATTGTAAAAGTTTCAAACTAAATGTCAGTTTTGTATCATAAGGTGACAGTTTATTTAATTAGTGTTTGCAAATAAATTTTAAATTGATTTGAAACAATTTATTCAAGCATGGTTGAGTTTAAAATTTTTGTAAATAAATTAATTTAAATAAGATAGTTTGTTTCTCCAACCATATACATGCATAAATAGAAAAATTATTTCAAAGTTTGTACTATAATTTTTATTTAGTATGTTATTTATCACTGTGTCTATGTCCAATATTACCACATAGCATACATTTTATTGTAACTTTCATTATCACAAAATCATTTGTAGTTTGATATGAAGACAAGGAAGATGTTCTTGAAAAGAGTTAGAGTAAAAGAAATTTGTTTGAATGACTTGATCATTGGCAATATAATAAACGTCATGTCTAGACCCATGAAAATTATTGATTATGCTGATCTCAGGACAAAACGACATCTTGGAAAAAGAGATGAAAGGTATTAACAAACCTTTTTAAGAAAAGCTGAACTGAATAACTTTAGAAAACATAAAGTTAAACAGAAACATTTGTAGTTGCATATTTTATAAACCTATCTATCATGTAGTCTCATTTGTAGACTTATTTTTACATCATGTAGAACGATGTTGCTGATAAAACCCGATGCATATGAAAAAGTGGGAACAATGATAAACGACTTATATGCGGCTGGCTACATCATCAGAAGAATGAAAAGTTTTCAGTTGAACACGAAACAGGCTGCAGATTTTTACATTGATTTCTTGGAAGAAAGTGATTACAGGTGCCAATTGTTCCCTCTAGTTGTAAATATTTAAAAAAATTATTATGAATACATAAAAGGGATAAATTATAACATGCTGCTCTGCAGGTCAATGTTCATATATTTGGCCAGTGGGCCGGTTATAGTGATGGAGCTGATCAAAGAGAATGCTTTTTTTGACTTGTGTCAGTTGGTCGGACATCTTGATCCCAATGTTGCCAGAACGGAAAACCCTAATTCTTTCAGGGCCAGATTCGGCATAGGTATCGAAATGTTGTTGGTCGTGTGAATTATTTTGTACTATACGATGATTTAATTTTGAGCAATGTTTCGTGGTATCGTACGTCTTCAAACCTGCAAAAATCTTGTTCACAATCCGACGGAAAAAAGAAATGAAAACAGCTTTTTATAAGTTTTAATTATCTTGCATATACTCTCGATCTGCAGATAAGTTAAAAAATGCCATACACTGTCCAGCCACTGGAGAAAAGGTCCGAAGTGAAATTGATTTTTTTTTCGCAACCAACAACGTCATGAACACAGTAACATACAAAAACTCAACTTGTGTCGTCGTCAAACCTCATGCCATAGATGACGGTGCATACGTTTGTTTTGTGTTTTTATTTATATAATTTACGACTTAAACTTTGTTAAAAGTTCTCATGAATAAATTTAGGACAAGCTGGGTACATAATAGAGTGCATACAGAATTTGGGCTATCGAATCTCTGCCTATCTCATGTGCACCTTCGATAAAGTAAACGCTGAAGAGTTTTATGAAGTTTACAAAGGGGTTGTACCTGAATATCCAAAGATGGTATTTTGCGAATTTTGTTTCAACTTATTTATTTTATAAATGTCTTTGCGATAAATGATCAACTTTTTGATTTATTTTTTGTTAAAACAAAAAACATATTCTCATTAGCTACAGTTCTTTAAATGTTTTTATGAGAAGCTAGTTTCATTTTGTTTGTTATAAGTTGCATTGGTAACACAAAAAAATATAAGAAATTAAAAACAATTTTGTGTTTTATTTAGTTAATATTCCACATTTCGAATGTAATTAAAAATTTGTGTTTACGTTGAAACTTTCTTATTAACATAATTTCTGCAATGAATAATTTCTAATAAAATTAAACGCGAAATAAAATGTCCTGAACTACTTATTATGAAAGGTAGATGAACTTTCAAGAGGGTTGTGCCTGGCTATGGAAGTGAAGTTACCTGACGAGACGCTGAGAACTGCCGAAGAAACCACTGAACCGTTTCAAAATTGTCAACAACACATGAATTTCAGGGATGTTGTTGGACCGTCTGATCCCGTTTGTGTCTTCAGATTTTTTAAATATTTAACACAAATGAAGGGGCGCGCACACACGCACCATATATTTATATATAGAGATGGTGTACGCCATGTACTACTCACACTGGCCGACCATACCTGCAGTATGCATATATATATATATATATATATATATATATATATATATATATATAAACCAAGCAAAAAAAGTTAATTATAAGAATATATGACAATATAAAAAATTAATTCTGTTTTCACATTGATTTTAAACACGTTAAGGTTCCACGCTAAATCTTTCTTGGTTAATCATAGTTCTGGACATGTTTAGCGAAGACATGAGACTGAAGTTCTTACTACTGAAAATGTTATATAATGCAAGAGAAAAAAGTGAGATGATTTAGGCATGTGGTAAGAAAGGCATAAGGACATTAGGAGAAAATTTGCACAGTCTTGAAAATATGAAAAAATAATCTAAAACACGACTTGATAAAGCGTAATTTTTATAGAGCACTTTTTGCTTAGCATCTGGAGCGCCGCCGCCAACTTGGATGGATTGACATTGGCTTAAAACCCAATGTCGCTCAGCTTGAGTCAAGAAATGGCGCGCGATAGGAATGTGTCAGGATTGCTGAGTGTACAAATTATAATTGGGGTTAGGTAACCCGCAGTGGGTTAAACGCCTTATTGAAGAGGTTCAACCTATAAAAGCCGATGATTATGCACAGCAAAAGTATGAATTTTATGTGTAATGTAAATTTTATCAAGGAACTGGCTCGTAAAATACGACCGAATACACTAAGGGCAAAATTTGGAATGAACAAAATCCTCAACTCAATCCATTGCACTGACCTTCCAGAAGATACAGTCATAGAATTAGAATATTTTTTTAAAATTGTTGATAACAAATAAATTAATTTATAAACTTAGTTCTTTTGTGTTTTCAATTACTTTTTTCATTGTTTTTTTATATCAAATATTTATAGAATACTTTGATACCATTTTATAAAGATTGTTTTTTTAAAAAGGGTTCAAACTAAACTGTAGAAAAAAGATGATCGGCGTCAAAACGTTTAATTTTCATATCAAAATTAATGAATATCGAAAAATTAAAACAGCTCAAGATCGTCCCGCATTATTTAACTTGTAAATTTTAACACAAAAAAAAATATAACTCCTGTTTTTGCTAACGGTCGGCGTCAGCCTTATACAGCCGCACTTGTAGCACAGACCTACGCGTGAGTTTTCCAGGAGAACCCAGGACTGGTGGATGGGATTCTTCAATGCACGCCTGTAAATACCAACCTCTATGACACAACATTCAAATTGATAGACTTACATTATTGACAATAGTTAGAGACGAGGTCATTCGTCAGACATTTATTTCAGCTGTCTATAAGTTTGTATAACGAAAAAACTTGGTATTATATTTTCATAATTTTCTTAAAATAATAAAACAGTCAATGATGGCAGCTTAAAATTGTGATTAAAATTATTAAAATGCCGAGAAAAGTATAGTGTAAGCATTTGCAATTTGAAGCAAAAATCATGATGATGAAATTATTAACGATCATTAGTTGAAAACTTGATGCAATTTTTGAAATCTTAATTTTTCTTAGGGAACTATTTTCGCATCTTTTGCAAGACCGTAAAATAGAGATCTTTTATTGTTCAGTAGCGTTTGTGGATTGTCAAATTCCATAACGTTGCCCTTATCCATAACCAGCACTCTGTAAGAGAAACGTTTCAGCATTTTCAAAACTCATTAGTTGTTATTTTTTTGTTTATTAACTCATTGCGTAAAAAATTATTAGATTAAAAATACACTGTGTTTTGTCTTACACATTTTGTCAGCAAAAATTTAATTGTAAAAAAATTAACAAAACTATACTACAATTATACTACAATTACTACAAAACTATAATTACCCTTATATTTTAAAAATAGGTAGACACGTATTTTACGAAAAAGAAGGTAGACAAATTTGATAACTTCTAATAATTGATAAAAATGCGTTTAAAATAACCTATCACAATTGAGAATCGTGTTAATCCTATGAGCAATAGTTAGGATGGTGCAGTCGTCGAATTGTGTTCGTATAGTCTCCTGAATAACCTTGTCAGTCTCAAGGTCCACCGCTGTTTCAATCGATAATTTTAACTGATGCTAACTTTGCTATGGATTAAGCAATGTTGATAAAATCAATTCCGTTAAAAAGAAATATTTATGCATTAGATCCACAAACCGGCAGTGGCTTCATCAAGAACTAGCAGACCAGTCTTGTGCAGTAGGGCTCTACCCAGACAGACTAGTTGGCGCTGTCCAACGCTTTTTCAAAATTTACAAGTGATTTAAATGGAATACTTTTTTAAAAATAGTTATATTACCTTAAATTTTGGCCTCCTTCTCCACATTCATTGTCCAGAGCAGCAGGTAAACTAGCCACGTATGTTTTAAGATGGGCATTTTCAAGAGCTGTCCATATCTGATCGTCAGAGTGTTCATTTGTTGGATCCAGATTGAAACGCAAACTTCCGGAGAATATGACCGGATCCTTTCAATTAATAATTTGAATTTGTTGAAAAAATAAAAACTGAATGTCAAAACCACCCGATAAATGATAAGACATTTACCAAAACTTGATTAACGTTTAAGGAATACCTGAGGCAGGATGGTTATCTTGGATCTTAACTGATGTAAACCAATGGATGTGATATCCACTCCATCAATAATTATGCTTCCTTCAGATGGTTCAATTAAGCGGAATAGAGCCAAGGTCATTGAACTTTTACCTGCACCTGTTCGACCAACTATACCAATCTGAAATGTCGAAAGGTTTAGTTAAGTCGATGCTACACAATTTTTAAAAATAATCACGAACCTTTTCTCTAGATTTGATATCAATGTTTATATTTTTCAGTACAAGTTCCAATCCCGGTCGATATCTCAATCCATAATTACGGAAGATGATGTTGTTCCTGTCAGGCCATTCTTCTGGCGGATCTCTCTTACCTCTCTGCCAATCAGCCTTAGATAAATATTAAAAACTTTAATTATAGCTCCTACCCTTCAGTCTGTTACCGATGAAGTAAATTTAAAATACGTTTTACTTCTGTTGGTGTTTCAGAATACTCTTTAATTCTTTCAATTGATACAATGTTTGTTTCAAGTTGAGTTCCCATTCTTACAATCCATGTGAGCGATACAGTGATCTGGGTTTAGAAAATTTTCATTCATCGGATAAGGTTTTTTTTATTGATATACTTAAATTTTAAAATTGCAACAATGATATCTTACTTGGAGCGCATAAGTTATTGAAAGTCCAACAATCGAAGAGGACAAAGACTCTCTTCCTAGAACAGCAAATACAGCTGCAGACACAACAATTATGCCTCCAAGACAATCTAGCAGTAAGCTTAACCACCTGTTAAGAAATCAAGTATAACTTTTTTGTTACTTAAAAATCAGACCTCGGCAGCGCATACACTTTTTTTTTAAATATCTATAAACTGACTACTTAGTCACATATATCGTAAATAATGAAAGTAACACCAGCCTGTTTGATGTTATGTTAGCAAAATAAGCCACCATATTGTTGTCGACGAGTTTTTCTGATTTTGCAATGAAATCTTTCTGTTTACCAAAAGCTCTGATCACACTTGCTCCTGATATGGTTTCACTGAAATGCACGTATATTGGAGAACGTGTCGTTGATTCCAGTCGTTTCAGTTGTCGTGTCGTAGGGATATAAAATCGCTATAAATAATTTGTCAACGTTTTGGAAAGTTTTATAATCATTTGAAGTCAAATATATAATTTTTTTAAAACAGTAATTGCTTTACCTGTACAAAATAGTAAATTATGAAAACAGGCACCACCACGGCCAAAAATATTGGCGTTGTATAACCGATGACAATAATGGTCGCTAAGATGTTAAATAAATTGCCCAACCATGATCTAATTACTTGAAGTATCGAATTGTCAACCTAATAACAGATTTTTTTTTAGTTATAAATCAGATTAGTCGAAATCAGAATATTAAATTTATTTATAAATTTTAAATGTTTTACGTTGATTAAAGTTTTAAACCATGAAAAAATATCTTTTTGCTGAAAATTTGTAAGACAAATTATGAAAAGTTTACTTTCTTACAGTTTCTACATCTTTAGAAAACCTGTTGAGTATTCTTCCAATTGGTGTCGTATCAAAAAAGGTCATTGGCGACCTAAATAATTATGTTTAATTTTCAAATTCAAACCATGTAGTCGAGATGTAAACGTTTATGCACACGTGATTGAAAAGTTCAAGCGTTAGAAATAAGGAAATTGTTAAAAATGTTATGGTGAAATTACCTAAGTATATTGTACAGCAAATCCTGATGAAGTACTCTAGACGATTTGACGTTGGTTTCAGCCGACACGAGTGCATATATGAGTATGAAGATGGCTGGTGTATTGTTAAAACAATTCTGAGCTCATTACTTTTTAACTAACTGTTTCGTAAAATATGTTCAAAATAAACAATGGAATACAAATTAACCTTGAAGTAATCCAAAGCCAGCATATCCACCGAGATAAAACATTTGTTTGTCTTTGTAATCTTCAGGCAGACTGCCGTTTATTAAACTGGCATTACGAATGATTGGATCGTTGGTCCATTTACTAAGCCAAAAATTGGATAGCAGAGCGGCGACATTAAAAAGAATGAAGAAAAATATAAAGATACTCGACAAGAGGACACCCAGAGATTTAATGTAGGCCCAATAAACAGACAACTTCACCTACAATTCAAATAAAATAAAATAAATTTATTTTTAAAGTTTGGCTGATTTTCAAAAAGATTAAATTTACACTGCCGGTTTCAGAAATTTCTTCTTGAATAATTTTGTCAATTTTAACATTTTTACTTTCTTCTTCCAAAATACTTTTGGTAGGTTTTAGTTTCTTCCTAACAATATTTCATTAAGAGAGAATTGTGTGATAATTTTATTCATCAAAAACAAAAAGATTAATCAAGAAAAATAATTCTTAAAACTTGTGTTACAAACCTTTTCCTCAAAGAATAGCCGCTTCTCTTATCAGATTCAGTACTATGCACGGAAGTTCGGTCGTAGTTATCGAATCCGGAAAGCTTTTTCCTACCCTGCTGAACATCTTCATCTTCCTTGTTAGATATCAAAGAATTTACCCGTTCCCGTAATAGTTTTTTTACTTCTTTTTCTGTAAGCAATTACAATGAAAAAATATAATACAACGGTGGTAGATTAGTTATCAAATTACCATAACATTAATCGTTGACAGGCACGTGAAGAAACGTACAACAAACAGCAATGTAACAAAAAATGCCTACTTCGTTCTAATAAAGATTTTTCGTCAGCCCTTATTGCCTCTGGTGACAAAATGGAATAGTCATCACCTGCCACACCATTAATAGTATCTTTTTCACCATCCTCATTTTCCTCCTCCTCTTCTTCTTCTTCTTGAAGGAAGTCCCTGATGAATTGCGCAAAGACCAAGTTATGATTGAGCAGATCTTGGTAGGAGCCACATTCTGAGATAATGCCACCAGTCGCCATGACGACCACAACATCACACGAGGGCAGCCAGGTGATGCCGTGAGTGACGAGGACGCGTGTCTGTTAAGTTTGTTCCACGTTAGACATCAATTACGAGTCAATCACTAATCACGATCAACATTTTTTATTACAAGTATGGCTGAACCTTGTTTTTGAGTATGCCATGTGGTCCGATGACGCTGTCGAAGATGTGTTTGGCGACATGTGAGTCAACAGCACTGAGTGGATCGTCGAACAAGTAAACGTCACAGTCCTGGTAGATGCTTCGTGCCAAGCTCACTCGCTGCTTCTGACCTCCACTCAAGTTTATGCCCTTTATCAACAGGAATGTTTTAAATTCACTTCAATGCCAGACTATTAAATAACTCATGTAGTAAATAAAATTCAACTTGATATTCAAATTGTTGACGTTAATTCAACCTTCTCTCCGATTTCCGTCATATCGCCAGCAGCCAGGACAATGAGATCTTGCTTCAGAGCACACGCCTCAATAATTTGATTATACTTGTCTTCATCAAACGGCTTGCCGAACAATATGTTGTCACGCAACGTCGCATTCTCTATCCAGGCTTGCTGCGAGACGTAACCTATGCGGCCCTATAGAAATAACACGCGTGAAATCAAACAACGAATTAAAATGAAAATCACCAAAATAGAGAGTGCATAATATTTAATTTACGAGTGATAACGTTCGTAGTTTTTCAAGTAGTTGGACAAAAAAAATGAAAAATGTTTCCCAACGTTGGTGATAACTCGGCCACTTCTTTTTTCCATGTCTCCAAGTGCTGCTGATAATAACGACGACTTGCCTGATGTTGAAAGAACAAAAGTGGGTTTATTCAATCGTTTAGAATTCATTTTAAAAGATGTTCTGGTGCTATTATCACGCTACGTGTTACAGTTTTGATTGTTTTTCATTCATGATTAAATTCTTTCATTTTGCTGACTGTTTCAATTATAATAATTTAATTTATAAAAATCAGAAGGTCTAATTCTAACTACTTCAAAAATTTTTCTATTCTGGACCACGACTCTCAAAAAAAGTTGGTCAACTTTTGCTTTACATCAAACAAGCTCAGCCACACTATGGATGAAATAAAACTATTCTATATTCATCTTAAATTTGTTTAGAGAAGTACTGGAAGACAATTGAATAATTTTGTATGTATTATTGTGCAAAGCTTATTGTTCGTGGATGTATAACTTTCTACTCCCGACTCGAACTCCTTGATTGAGACAATTATATTGGGGCTCTTGTTAATGTAAACGTCTTTCAATATTGTGTATTACAATTCTAATTACAACAACATTGCTCAGCCGTCAACTCTATTTGTTCCGATATAAAAAATAAACCCATTAAATTACATTAAATGAAGAACTAACCCAGGCCGACCTGTCCAACTATTGCCGTTAGAGATTTTTTTCTTATCTTCAAATTTATACTGTTCGAAATGACATAATTATATTAAATCAAAACTCCTTCAACTAATTCGTAATTGATTATTTTTAATATCTACCGAAATTTGAGCAACGTAATGATTACTAACTTGTTGAGCACGTTTGCATCGTCTGGTCCTCGGCCCCAGGCAAATGTTCCGCTTTCAATAATGATACTGTCTGACAGCGTAAATGGAAATGTTGGTTTTACATGAAAACAAGATAGACACGCTGATGTTAACTTATTGGAAAGTTCATTTATTTTATGCGTTCAATAGTTAGTTCAATTATTAAATGTCTGTCACTATTTAAAATAATAAAGGAAATCAAAAGAGCAACTAACATGGATCAGGATCGTTTTCATCGCAGCCATCCTCATTCAACCTCAACACGCTCTTCTCGTCGAGGTCAGGAGTCTGTAAATATTTTTCAATTCTTTTGACTGAAACCGCTGCCTAAAATTGGGAGATTTTTGGAAAGTTTAGATAACCAGTTTTTGAATTGACTAACAAAAACGAAAGCGTCGTTTACGGTTTATGCAGCTAACCATTACTAGATAAGATATCATCATTGGCAGAATGCTGATCGGCACTCGGAGAATGTTAAGAAGAGAAAGAGCTGTGAAGGCTTTATTGGCATCTAGTTGTCCTCCCACTAAAACGTATGTGGCAAAAGCTGCCAAAGTTACCTTTTAAAGTGTTTCGTTATAAAGAAAAATAACTTTAACAGTTTTAATTTTCTTGTAATAAATAGATATTATAGTATTAAAAAGTTATTAAACAATTTAAAAAAACAATAAAAACAAACCAGGAATGGAGCACATGACCATGAAAACAAAATGACAGCTCCTAAATAACTGTACTTTTTCAAAGTTACCAACTCCAAGTTTCTTATTGCACTGACTTTTTCTTTAAAAGATAACTCCCAGGCGTAAAGTTTAATAACCTTAAAGTAGAAAAAACAAAATTAGTTCAATACAAGTTGAAATTCTGATTTTTAACAATGAAATCTAACTTTGATTCCGTTAAGTATTTCATTCGTTAACTTTATTCTGTCATCTTTTCTTTTCATTTGGTCGGTCTTCAAAATTTTTTTTAAACGTTCAAAATTTTGAATTATAAAAATAGCATGCCAACCTGCATTTTTCTCTGCACAGCTGAAACCCAAGCATTGATTGGGATGAACAAAATCATAACGGCAACGCCAGCGAAAATTGATGGTCCCAGGATGCCATACAAGAAGTACATGGAGAGGACAATTTGGAAGGGAGAGGACCAGACCATCCACAAGTAACCAGTTGCGTCTTGCAGTCTCTGCGAATCAACGGACATCAGGTTGACGATTTCTCCAACTGTCGTCGTCTTGCGAGCTTCACTGCTCATCGTCAACGCCTTTTGGAGTTGGAATTAAATGTTAATGACAAAGTGGAGATGGTTAAAAAAATTATTTCGTTGTCTGTCTGACCTTCTTGTAGACGAGTGCGATGATGGATGCGTTCATTCGCATGCCTGCATTCATTCCAACGTGGAAAACTTGTTGGAAGAGGATGCTGTAGAGTAATGTGTTGAAGAAGAACAAGCAGGCGTACAAGTAACCTTTCCACACGTGACCTTGCGTTGATGACGTCTCTATGAAACTTATCAGGTAGCTGCGGTAAGTGATGACAGATATGTTTGTCACTGAACAAAACTGGTTTTATCTATTTGTTATTCTAAATATGCTGACGTTGAACAAAACAATTATCTTTTAGTAAAGATGATTTTAGAATTCAATGCAAAAAAATAGTAAATGTATGAAGACGAAACATTATTTTTGACCTTTGCAATTGCGGTCCGACCATAATTAAAAGATCACAAAATATTTTGAAGAAATGTGACAAGAGGATCCTAGGACCATAAACCTTTGATAAAACCTTTAAGAGAGAAGGTTTTTTTAATTTGTCATTTTTATTTCCTATTATCTGTACGTTGGGAATCACGTTGTTTATGTTGGAAGCGTAGCTGGTTGCGGGCGAAGACGACAGGTGCGTTGTTTCACTTTCTTCCACGGTACTTCCTTCAATGCTCTCTAGGACTTTTTTGTTGTATCTGATCAAACAGAAATTAAACATCATCTATTAACAAAAATGGGAACCGGAAGAAAGCTGATAGATTGTAAGTGTCCCGTTTATTGGTCACCTTGCACAGCTGGCCACCTCCTCGTTCCACTTTTGTTGCAGCACGTTTGCATTGCTTCTAGTGACATCTCTCGGATGTAACCCCCACAGGTCAGACTCCTTCAACGTCTTCTTGTAACCCTCGTATATCAATCTGTCATTCAAACAATTATCGTAATTAATTAATTAATTTGTTTATCTATTTAAAGACAAACCAAGTGCAGTGAAATGGCAATTAAGTGATCTTTGGAGATCAAATAAAAAAAAATACACGTATAGGCCGGTTAAAATAATTAACTGAGTGAATGAAAGTTCTTGAAATAATTTATGAAAATTATAAACTTGATTTTTTAGCCATTAAAATGGTAGTTACAAATAACATCTGGATGACAATTTGAGATTACAACGTTACAAGAAATCATTGTATTCAATAAGAACCACAAATAATTTTGAATGACTAATAAATAAAAGTATAAATGAACGATAGAATGAATGAAT